AATTGGAAAGATGCCTTTTACTTACCTTGGTCTGCCTGTGGGTACTACAAGGCCAAAGATGGTGGACTTTATGCCTCTTGTGGATTGTATGGAGAGGAGAATGACTGCCAGCTCCTCCTTCCTTAATCAAGGTGAGAGGCTGCAGTTCTTAAATTCTGCCTTGTCTTCCATGTCAATCTTCTTTATGGGCAGCCTGGCTGTTCCTGCTGGAATCCTCAAGCAGTTGGAAAGAATTCAAAGGCAATGTCTGTGGAGAAAAAATAGGGAGGAGCCTGCTCCATCTCTTGCTGCTTGGGATTTGATTTCTAGACCAAAAAACAAGGGTGGTCTTGGTATTTTGAACCTGGGTGTTCAAAACGTGGCTTTGCTTCTCAAGCATGCTAGTAACTTTCTCAACAGGAAAGACCTACCTTGGGTGTCCTTAATTTGGGACTCATATTATCATGATGGCATGCCCCAGGGAACAACTTCTTGTGGCTCTTTTTGGTGGAAGGATATTTGTAAGGTCTTGCAGAATTTTAGGGACTGCTCCTGGGTGCAGGTCAATGCTGGGGACACTGCTCTCTTTTGGTCTGATAACTGGAATCTTGGCAATGAAGTTTCTAGCTTGCAGTCTAGATTCCCAAGATTATTCTCTTTTGCCAAGGATCCATGGATTTCTGTTAAGGCCATCTTCAATTCAATAGACTTGTACCAACACTTTCACCTACCTTTGTCTGCTCAAGCTTTTGATGAGCTAAACTTGATAAGAAATATGTTGGTCTCCCATACAAGAGATGACACTTGTAAGGATTTATGGTTCTGGCAGGGCTCTTCAAAGGTTTACAAACCTAAGCTGTTCTATGGTCATGTTTTTCAGAATGAAACATTCAACCACTTGCTGTGCTGGATCTGGAAATCCTCTTGCACTATCAAGATCAAGGTTTTTGCATGGATGCTCATCATGGATAGACTCAACACTAAGGATATGGTTGATAGAAGGCACTGGCACATGGATGATGGTGTTACTTGTAGGCTATGCCCCCTTCAAGTGAGAGAAACCAGAGACCATCTCTTCTTCAACTGCAATTTCAGTGTCAGAGTTTGGAATTATTTGCAGATCGATTGGTCAGCTGGAACTTCAATGTCTGACCTAGTCATCCAGGCAAGGAGAAGCTTTGATAAGCCCTTTTTCAATGAAGTAGTATTTATTGCCTGCTGGAATATCTGGATCATCAGAAATGCCAAAGTGTTCAGAGGTGAGAGGGCAAGTTTCAACAAATGGAGAGGAGCTTTCAGGCATGATATTACTCTGATGCAGCATCGAATCAAATCGGGATACAAGGATGAGTTACTCAAGTGGATTTCTTTCTTGCCACCTTAAGTTTTAGCCTTTTCTTTTTTTATTTTGTTTTTCTCCTCTCCTTTCGGTTACCTCTTGTAATCATGTTGTTGTAACTGTTGTCTGGCTTTAATAATAAAGTTTTGATATTCTGTGGGGGTTTTCCCCACAGTTCACAGTCCAAAAAAATGTGTTTTTTATCAACTTGACTTGGCCCACCATATTGAAGTCCCGGCTTCGCCTTCGGATCTGGACCCCCCCTATGCTCAAATCCCGGCTCTGTCCCTGGACGTGTCGTTAGCCTATGCGCTACATGTCGCAAAACTAAGTCCAAAGCTCAATCTCATGGTCTTTACATGTCATTACCCATTCCATATGCACCTTAGGAGGACATAACATGGATTTCGTACTTGGCTTGCCTAGAACTAGAAATGGAAAGGACTTGATTTTTTGTGGTTATTGATAGATTCTCAAAGATGGCACATTTTATTCCATTAACAAGAGCAACGATGCTTCACACATTATGTAGGGATATATTGCGTTTAGATGAGTGCCCAAGACAATTGTCTCCAACCGTGATATCAAATTCTTGAGGTACTTTTGGAAGACAGTATGCGCCAAGCTAGGAATCAAGCTATTGTTCTCCTCAGCATATCATCCTCAAACCGATGGCCAAACGGAGGTGGTCAACCGCACACTCTCCACCGTCCTTCCCGTACTCATCAAGAACCTTAAGGAGTGGCAAGGCTGTGTGCCCATCACCAAGTTCACCTACAACCGTGCAAGGCACACAACAACGTTGAAGTCGCCATTGGAGGTTGTCTATGGCTTCAACCCCTTGTCGCTATGGGACTTCCTCTACAAGAGCGTGCCAGTATGGAGGCAAGCGACCGAGTTGAGTTCATGAAAAGGTGCATGAAGATATAAGGACCACCACTGAGCATCAAGTCCACAAGCATGCCACCAAGATCAGCATCACCAAGAAGCGAATGGTGTTCCAACCCAGAGATCTTGTTTGGCTACATCTTCGCAAAGACCGCTTTCCGAACGAGCGCAAATCCAAGTTGCTACCTCGAGCCGACGATCCCTTCAAAGTCCTAGAAAGGATAAACAACAACGCTTACAAGATAGACATCCCACTTGACAAGTACTCGATGAGCAACACCTTCAATGCCGCCGACTTGGCTCCATTCCATGGCGATGAGGTTTTCGATCCGAGGACGGATCTTCCCCAAGGAGGGGGGGGGGGGGATATGGTGCAGAGCAGCACATGGATATCACCATGGATCCTACACCAATCCCACAAGTGCCAATTGGACCAAAGACTAGAGCCCGTGCACATGCCAAACCAAGGTGAATTCACTCCTCTTCGAACTTTCTATGCATTCATTTGAGACAACCTCAATCCGACACCCTATGCATACTCAAATAACTAAGGATTCATCCATGAAGAAGTGAGGGTAGAAGGCCAAGCAAAGAGAAGGAACAAGGAGAAATGTTGTTGAGCTACAACGGCCGGATAGTCCAGCCAGGAAGCCGGACTGTCCAGCATGAGTCCCGAAGACATTAGAAGCTAAATACATGTAGTCTGGCGTTTCGTTATCCTGCCCTTAAAGATTGACTGGTGCCTGAAGCCTGTGCCAGCCCGGAGCCGCACTTGCGTCAGCAAACGGACTGTCCAGCTTGCTTCCCAGACTGGACAGTCTGAACCCAGACTATTCGGCTCGGTTCCCGAACTGTCCGACCCTTGCATGCGTGCAGATCTAGCCAATAGGCCATGTATCCCCTCTCTTACCTACCCACTTTCGTCCCTTAGCTATATAAAGATACCTTGGACTCAAATTACAGTTAGCAAAGCATTTAGATAAAACTTGAGAGGGCATTGCTCATCTATCCTCTCCTTTGGAGATCAAGGCGTCCACAAGGAGAAGAACCCTTGTGGTTAATCAAGACCTCCATATCATTTGGATTGGAGAAGATCTACCTCTCAAGACCCCTCTTCTCTTAGAGATTTGGGAAGAACTTTACCTTGTTTCCTTGTTCCCTTTGTTGGTTGAGGATCTTGATTTGTCTCATACTTTGGATGCTTTGAGAGGACATGTGTGATGTGAAACTTGTTCATTAGTATTCTTCTTCTTCTTGAGTTTCTTGTGTTCTTTGTGTTTTGCTCCTTGCCACCTTCAAATTGTGAAGATTGGGACAAACCTAGGCCTTTGTCCTACATCACAGTTTTACCATCTGCAGAGAACAAAGCATCTAGAGGACAAAAAAATCTACAACTCAAAGATACCACTAAAAGTTAAAAAGATAATATGGGGTATCTTTGTCGGGGTACGGTTCTAACAAATGACAATCTGCTCGCCACAATTTGCAGGGAAGTAAGAAGTGTTATTTTTTTCATCATGACGAGACAATTAAGCATGTTTTCTTTCAATGCACTTTTGCGCGCTCTACATGGTCAATCATGCGTCCAACTTGTATCCTCCTCGCAAGGTTGCCAACATGTATAGTCACTGGCTCGATGGTATAGCTCACAAGTTTAATGCACTTACAAAGGTGGGAGTGTTTGTTTTATTATGGTCAAAGTTCAAAAAGGTGTGCCTTTTGTGAGCTCCTAATCACATCCACGCGTGAAGTGATGGGAGAACGCATCGTGTTTATGTGGTGAGCCCAACCAGGCAAAGCGCTTTTCCAATCTATGCTCGACTAAGCGTGCATCAGCAGCGCTACGCAGACGTAACCGTTGTCGGGCGAAGAGCGAACAGACCAAAATCGTAGAGGGAAAAGAGAGGTCCGTTGGCCATAATCGCAGCAGGAAAGATATAGGAAAGGGTGGCACAGGCTAGATTTTGATGAGTAAAACGCACATACATCTCTGATGGGCTCCTCACATGATAGGATGTCGAGGCGGCGACTCTGAAGCTCATCTCACACCGTTGACCCTGACCTTGCGCCCCCCGGACCTCCTCCTCCCGTTGCACCCCGGCACCACAAGCTACTCCTCGACTCGCCACATGCCGCCGACCTCCTCGTCTCGCCTCTTCTGACGTGCCCTGCTGGTCAGCTCCAACTCCCCTTTTTCTCTCTTCCCTCTTAGGTGATTGATCCCTTCCCTCTGGTCTAGTCCGTTCGAGTGCTATTGTTGTGAGCCTGTGATGTTGATTTTGTGATATGATCTATTGCATTACCTATTAATTTGCTCGATCTCCCTTCTTCTCCTCTTTTGTGCTTCTTCTCCTCTTTTGTGCTTCTGCTCTGCCATGGCCCATGGCTACTATCTATTGCTCCCTAGCCTCTATTACAACACATGGAACATGAACGGTGAAATGATATGGTTTTTTATGATAAAATTTCCTCTATTATGCAGGTTATCTACCAGTGCGGTTCGTGGTGTACTCTGTCCGTGGCTCTGTTCGTGGTGTACTCTACAACCCAATCATTTCTACGTTGACTGATTTTCTTTTGACAGCTCTGTACGTTGGTTGATATTATTAAGCAAATACTCCCTCCGTTCCAAATTACTCGTCTCAGAAATGGATGTATTTAGAACTAAAATACATCTAGATACATCCATTTCTGCGACGAGTAATTCGGAACGGAGGGAGTACTACGAATGTATTAATCACCAAATTCGGGAATGAAAGCTAAGATTTAACCAGGGAGGAACAAGGTCAGAGACCTCAAGGCCTTCGCTGTTGAGCGCCATGGACCGCTCTCTCTGCCCGTCCGGCCCGGCCGCAGCCATCTCGAACTCCGCCGCCGCCGCACCGACCCCGCGCTTCCTCCCCGCCTCTCCCCCTTGGCCGCCTTCCTCCGCCTCCGCGGCTGCCCCCGACTTCTCCCCGGAAGGGACGGACCCCGCCGCCATACCCCGCCGCCTCAGCTCCTTTGCAAACAGCGACTCGGGCGCGTCCTCCTCGCTCCCCCGGGCTCCACCCCCCTCATCCCCGTCGATACGGCACCTCACGCGTAGGCGCAGCATGCGCCGTCCACGCGGCCGCAGCGAAGGCGACGGTGTGAGGGCTGGGCGCACGAGGTGGATCACGGCCAGTTCCATGGGCATAGTTTGCTAGCTTCAGTTGGTTGCGTGGCTGCGTGATCCCTGCTGCGTCGAGGTCGCGGAAGCACAAGTCCGACTAGACGCGACAGGGTGACTCCTCGGCGAGGGTTCTGACCGTCGGTTCGGTGCTGAGATACGCAATTAGGCGGATGGACGGTGCGGATCTAGCGGAGGGTTCATGCGGCTGGTGATGAAAGCCGAGGACGCAAGGAAGCCGGACTAATGTATGGTTGTCGTGGTTCGTCGGACCTCGGAGATGTGCGGGCTCATCTCCAACGATGAGTTGTCTTTTGAGAAAAAAATCACTATAGGACCTTAAACTTGCGTTGGTGGTCAGTTTAGCCCCCCGTAGTTCAAAATACCCGAAATATCATCCCTAAACTTGTTCTAGGGGCTCACATACGGTCTAAAATATAATTTGCTCTACGTATGTGCTGATTTGGCAGTGGTCAAGTTGATCCACGTGGGCGCTGGCTGTCACGTCGTCTCAGCCACCTAAATATGTAGGAAAGCAGGGGGTCTTTTGCAAAAATGACGCAAGAAAATGGTAGCGACGATGCATCCTGCGCCGTGTGCCGGAGCTGCAGGTCGAGGCCGACGAAGTGGGGCTTTTGCTGGCTCCTGGAGTTCGGCGTCCCTCAGGCTGCTGCTGGTGGTCGGCGGTTGCGAAGGTGGTTGGACCGGCGATTCCGGGCTGGGGAGGAGCGGGGAGCTTGGCGGAGAAGGCGGCGTTGGTGGAGGAGGCCGACGGCGGCGTGGGCGGGAGCTCGAGACTGACGTCCATCGTGCACTCGTCGTCGTCCACGTACGCGACTCTCGCCACCACAATGCCGACGGCACCATGGATTGCTGGCTCGAACCGACCGAGCTTGCAGCCCTGCACCGGGAGGTCGGTGTCGACCCGTACTGGGTACCGCCTCCACGGTGGAAGCGCGGAGATCCCGTTTTCGCAGACGGCTACGCGCTCAAGGCAAAGATGCGGGTGGAGGAGCTCGCAGGAGTAAAAAGGTCCCATCCCCCCCCCTCTTCTCCTGCCATCTTCTCTTGTAATTTCTTCTTCTTCCTCAATGCTGATTCAATCTTCCATTGAGTCTTGCATGTGACAAAGAAATGTTTGTGTTCAAGTTGATCATTTGTGTTGAATTGCCAATGTTACTAATATTGTTAAGATTCTTGCACATAGTAAGTAGCAAACTAACAATGCTAGTGTTGTTGTGTTAACACTGAATTTTGTTATACCGTACTATTTGTGTATGAAGGCGCTTGTGCTGATTAAACCAATGGTAATTTGTGCTACGTTTGATTACTTGAGCTGAATTTTTATCATTTTTGTATACAGTAAGTAGCAGTGCTAGTTTTGTGTTTGCACTGAGTTCTGTTGCTCTGAATTTGTGTATGAAGGCACATGCAGCAGCCGGCGAAGGCACATCAAGGCACAATGAACAATGAGGTGAAATCTGAGGCAGTCAAAGCCTACATTTGTCAAGACTTATCAGGTGATTGTAGTTATCTTTCCTCAGATATGCATCTCTTTCCATTGCAATTTTCATCATGCATGTTTGCTATCAAATTTACATCTCTCTACCCCTCAAAATAAATAAATTACATCTCTCTGTTTTGCATCATGTATATTTGTTGCCAAAATTATGAGAAAATGGGACGTGCATGCATGCCTAAATGTGCCACACCCCCTTACTTGTGAATTGTGATGCACACTTTTCAGTTTTCATCAGGGTGTGCATGTTTCTGGTTCCTTCTTATGTGAAAACTTTGGTGTTGGAGTTTTAGTTAAAGAAAGCATTTGAGTTTGTTTGGAAGTGGCAAGTCTTTTGTTTTGGTTTTGGTTTTGTGATAGTCTTGTTTTTTTAGTTTCAGTTAAAGAAAGAAACAAATTTTGACATTTGAGTTGCTTCCAAGTGGCAAGTCTTGGTTTTGGTTGTGTCATAGTACTACATTGCAGTACTGCATCTGAAATTTGTAAAATGCAGGAGCAGGTTTGCCTTTCCAAAGCATGACACAATTGTAGCTCTCAATTTGTCTCCTTTGTGAAGGCATTGTAGAGACACCTGCACACCAACCTTTCTCAGCTTTGCTTCTCACATTTTTTACACTGAGGTTAAGGTGAATGTTTAGGCAAAGCACCTTTTTATTTCCATTGATGAATCTGTAGATATACTGCAAAGTACACTTGACATAGGTAGTTTTAATCATCGGAATGGATATCTCTTTCCACTAGTGTTGTAAGAATTGCAAGTTTACTTTCTTTTTGTTTATTCCATGGAGTATTTCCTTAGCTAATCTTGAACTCATGGTGATCTTATTTGCAGGACAAGTATGAGTGTAGGCTGAAGGCCAATGGCAATCTGGAAAAGCAGGTTCTATCCTTGGAGGTACACTAATTGGGACAACTCCTCAGCTTAAATTCATCATACTTGTCTAATTAGTTATCTTCTAAGAAATGGCTGTCAAGTTAAATTTTAAGTACTCAAATTATGTCTTCCTGGTTGAATTGTTTTCTCCACATTGTTGACCATGCTAAAGCCATTGTTGTGGATATGTTTTCAGGATAAGTATGCCAGCGCAGTACGGGCGAATGGCAAGCTGGAGGAGGAGGTTCTGTTCCTCAAGGTACATCTGAATTTTAACCAACCTTTGCCCAGCTCTTGTTCTCATTGTACAGGAATACAGATCAACTTTAGCTGCATTTCATGATGAGTTAATCATGTGCCTTATGTGGAGTTGACACTGGATCTGTTGTGCTGGAGAAGTATGAGGCAATGCTCGAGAAGAACACCAGGCTGGAGGGGCATGTGGCTGCTCTGTCCACTTCTTTCCTATCTCTCAAGGTAACGCAGTTGATTTCCAGTAGCTGCACTTCATCAACTGCACCAGTTGCATCATAATAATCTTTCTGATTTTTTGTTATGCTAGCATTTGCTCCAAAAGGATTACACATTAGCATTAGATTTGAGGAATGATTTGGTAATTTACTGTATGTATGAACAGGAGGGCATGCAGTTTCTGAATGATGGGGATCAGCAGCTGTAGATCATGGGAGCAAAGCCGTGTCTTCTTTTGTGTGCCAAGGAGTACTGCAAAGCTGACAGTAAGGAGAGCAATTGTGGCAAGGTAACAGATGCTGCAGCCGCTGGCGCAGGCGACCAGCTCGCCGATGTCGACGGCGACGGTGGGAATAGGTCGTCGAGGAAGTACAGCGAGTGGTCGGAGAAGGCGCAACCCTTTTCGCCGTTGACCCCAACGGTGGCGAGAGTCGCGTACGTGGACAATGATGAGTGCGCGATGGACGGCAGTCTCGAGCTCCCGCCCACGCCACCGTCGGCCTCCTCCACCAACGCCACCTCCTTTGCCAAGCTCTTGCTCCTCTCCTGGCCCGGACTCGCCGGTCCAACCACCTTCGCAGCCGCCGGCCACCAGCAGCAGCCCGAGGGACACCAACCTCCAGGAGCCAGCGCAGCCCGACTCCGTCGGCCTCAACCTGCAGCTCCGGCACATGGCGCAGGACGCGTCATCGCTGCCGTTCCCGTGCATCATTTTTTGCAAAAGACCCCCTAGTTCCCTGCGTATTCAAGCGGCTTAGACGACGTGGCAGTCAGCGCCCACATGGATCTACTTGACCACCGCCAAATCAGCACATACGTAGAGGAAATCGTATTTTGGATCGTATGTGAATCCCTAGAGCAAGTTTAGGGATGGTATTTCGGGTATTTTAAACTATGAGGATTAAAGTGACCACCGACGCAAGTTTAAGGACCTACGGTGAATTTTTCTCTTGTCTTTTTATCCCGAAACAACAATTGTTCTACGATAATTCTCTGCTCCCTGTATCTCTAGGCAACCCGCAAATTTCCCTCTGCATTCATCCATAGACTGTTTTGACAACTGCTCGAACCAAACGAAGGAATTTTGATATAAACACTGAAAGTGCTAGTTATCGACTAGAGGGGGGTGAATAGGCGATTTTTATGGAAGTCTTCAAAACACGAGGTCTTTGAAGACAAAGAATAGAAATGAACCTATTGATATGCAGCGGAAGGTATACTACACTAGACAGGCCATAACCAAGTAAGCAATGAAGTGAAAGTACGAAGACTATCAGCAGCTAGGTAGTATGGATCAGGATGGATGATAGTATGAAGCTAAACAGTAAACAGTCTTCACTCAGTGAAGTCAATCAAATCATACAGGCAAACAACAACTTCATGAAGACAAACTGTAAAGGAAAGGAAAATGAAGGATAGAACCAGTTGCTTGGTGAAGACAAGGATTTGGTAGACCAGTTCCAATTGTTGTGACAACTGTACGTCTGGTTAGGGAGGCTGAGATTCAACTCAGAAGACCGCGTCTTCACCTTATTCCCCTTGAGCTAAGGACACCAGTCCTCGCCCAATCACTCTGGTAAGTCTTCAAGGTAGACTTCCAAACCTTCACAGACTTCGTTCACCGGCAATCCACAATGACTCTTGGATGCTCAGAACGCGACGCCTTACCGGCTGGAGGATTCAAAGTCCTCAAGTGTAACAAGTCTTCAGGTCACACAGACAGAAAGACTTCAGTGATGCCTAACACTCTTTGGCTCTGGGTGTTTTGGGCTTTGTCCTCGCAAGGATCTCTCTCTCTCAAAGGCTTCGGAGGTGGGTTGCTCTCAAACGACAAAAGTCATGCACTAACTCTGAGCAACCACCAATTTATGGTGTAGGGGGTGGGATATTTATAGCCAGGAGGAAACCCGGCCTGATTTGTCCGAAATGACCCTGAGTCACTAAGGAACTGACACGTGTCCAACGGTCAGATTTCAAACACACGCGGCAGCTTGACTTGGGCTACAAGTAAAGCTGACTCATCCAGCTCTGGATAAGATTTGCTCTCAGTGTCTTCGCTCGAAGACATAGGATTTGGTTGAGCATCACATCAGTCACTCTAACTTTGTTCACTTGGACCCCACTTAACAGTACGGTGGTTCCTATGACTCAACAAAGAAGAAA